ACTCGAAGCAGACTATCCATCAGAGCTACTAAGACTGTTTCATTGCTGTGCTTTGCCTTGAAACCAGACTGAAACAGGTTCATTAGTTTCCTCCAAGAATGTCTTAAAGTTGTAAAGACACCACAGGCTCAAGTACCCTGCCCAAAAAAGGGATATTAGCAATATTTCGGAATTTATCACATACTTCTGAGTCTAGGGAGAACCTCTTCAGAAGCAGGAGTTTCCTTCAAGGCAATAAGCATCTCCCTCTGACATAGGGGGGTTACAGACTGCCAGAAATAGTGCAAATTGAGTCCACTTTTAGGGTTAGGGTTAGTGCTAGGGAATCATGGGAATTGTGGTGTTTTTTTTTCTGAGACACTGAGCCTTCTCTGTCAAGAGAGCTCTGATGCCACAATAAAATACAGTTCCCATGATTCCCTAACCCTAACCCTAAAAGTGGACTCAATTTGCACTATTTCTGGCAGTCTGAAACCCCCCCATAGTGAGGGATTTACCCCCTGGTTGGACTTACCTGGTCAATACATCTCTTATATAAGCCAAGATAGGCAAGGGTCAAGCTTACTGCTTCAAGCATCTTATCCACATCATCAGACCTCAACAACTGAAACTGATTGCATGAAAATTGGCCAGAAGGAGCACTGGACACTTCTACAGACTCTGTAATAAGTGTGGTCCAAGCCATGGTATTCCCCATCACCATGTACAGACAGGGAAGAAACATGATAGAAAGAAAATCAACTCTTTTGAGATTCTGTGTTGGAGAAGAGAGCTAAGGATAGCGTGGATGACCAAAAGGACAAACAAATGGGTCATAGGACAGATCAAGACTGTGCTGTCCCTGGAAGCCAAGATGATGAAATTGAGGTTGTCCTACTTCGTGAGAAGGCACAACTCATTAGAAAAGGCAATAATGCTAGGAAAGGTGGAAAGCAGTAGAAAGAGAGGAGGATTACATGGGCCTGAACCTAGTCCTAGAGGATCTGAGCAAACTGAGGATGAGCGTTTGGGAAATTCTCATTCACAGGATCAGCTTGAGGACTCAAAGGCAGTTAACAACAACAACAAGTTTGAATACAAATACCACAGTACTAAAATGAACAGAGCTCAAACATCAAAATGGCACTTAAACTATAGAACTTCCTACACACAATCATGTCCCTTGAAACCTTTCCTCTGCCAACAATCCCACTGCAGTGTCTCTTATAGTTTTAATCATAAAGTTTTTTTAAAAAAATCTCCCAAGACTGATACCATCTTCACTATTTCATCTTCTATTTTAATCTTATAAGAAATATGTCACAGTAATTCTCACACAGTGACACGACTACATGCACAAAACAAACTTATAACACACGGACTCTTTATCCTGCAATCCATCCAAAATATATTTTTTTCAACAGATTCACAAAGCCTGTCGTATATATGACTACTTGTGAATGAATCTATGCACTGATAGTGGAAACCTAATACTAGTATGTGGCCTACCATACGCTAGTAACACTATCTTTATTATTTTTTGCAAAGAAAGAAAGAAAGAAAGAAAGAAAGAAAGAAAGAAAGAAAGAAAGCTATTTCATAAATAACATTAATGAGGATCAAATTATCATCTATTAACACAGACTGATGTAAGCAGGCTATATGTTCAAATAAACAACCAGAATTGATGATTATAAACTGCATGTTATAATATAGACAGAACATAACATCTTCAGACCACTGAATGACAGACAACAAATGTTTATTTTTCTTTGGAACTGCAAGGGCTTGGAGCATCCATTTAGACTGATCATGTAAATCTACACAGAAGGACTTTATCAGTCAATGAACATATATAAATGACAAAGACTTTTCTAAGGAGATTATCATATAAGGATATAAAGTGGCTTACCTGAGCCGGCTTAAAATTAGAAGCTGGTGGCATCCTGATATTATCAGATGCATTTAGCCACCAAAATCGCCACCCAGGTGAGGCCCGGCTCCATCGCCGCTCAAAGGGACCCTCCTCGCGCCTCCAAAGCCGGGAGTTTTCCAGCTTTGAAAAATGGCCACCGGAGCGCCCCTTTGAGCGGCAATGGAGCCGGGCCTCACCTGGGTGGCGATTTTGGTGGCTAAATGCATCTGATAATATCAGGATGCCGCCCGCTTCTAATTTTAAGCCAGCTCAGGTAAGCCGGTTTATATCCTTATACAATAATCTTTTACGACAAAATGGCTGTGAATTACAAGGTAACCCATCACAGAGTACTATAGAATCACTGAATCAGAGAGCTGGAAGAGGCCGCAACAGCCACGCAGTCCAACCGCCTGCCATGCAGGAATACACAATCAAAGCACCCTGACAGCCATCCAGTCTCTGTTTAAAACCTTCCAAAGAAGGAGACGCCACTGTGCTCCGAAGCACCATGTTCCACTGTTGAATATCTCCTACTGTCAAGGAAATTCTTCCTAATGTTGAGATGGAATCTCTTTTCCTGTAGTTTGCATCCACTGGTCCATGTCCTAGTCTCTGGAGCTGCAGGAAACAAGCTTGCTCCATCTTCAGTATGTCCACCTTTCAAACATTTAAGCAGGGCTACCATGTCACCGTCAGAACAGAATTTGGAGAAACAGAGTGGTTTCCGATAGGCAATGGAATCAGACAAGGCTGCATCCTATCACCTTATCTGGTCAACGTATATGCTGAAAACATCGAAGAAAAGCAGAGTTCGAATCAGAAGGAGGAGTGAAAATAAGAGGAAGGAACATCAACAACCTAAGAGATGTGGATGACACCATAATATTGGGAGAAAACATTCAGGAATTGGAACAGTTAATAAGGAAGGTCAAAGATGAAAGCGCAAAGACAGATCTGATGCTGAGCATAAAGAAAACAAAAATAATGACCACAGAAGAAATACACAAATTCAATCTAGACAACGAGGAAATTGAAATAGTTAAAGAATTCCCATATCTAGGGTCAAACATTGACCAGAATGGAGACTGCAGTCAAGAAATAATAAGATTAGGAATGGGAAGGGCAGCTATGAAAGAACTGGAAAAGATGCTGAAGAACAAAAAGACATACGACTGAGCACTAAAGTCAGAATCGTTCAGGCCATTGTATTCCCAATTACTATGTACAGATGCAAGAGCTGAACAGTGAAGGAAGCAGGCAGAAAGAAAATCAACTCACTTGAAATTTGGTGCTGGAGAAGAATACTTAGGAAGCCATGGGCAACCAAGAAGACAAACAAATGGGTTCTTGAACAGATCAGACCAGAGCTCTCCTTGGAAGCAAAGATTATCAAGTTGAGACTATCGTACTTTGGCCACATAACGAGAAGGCAGGGATCACTAGAAAAAACATTAATGCTAGGAAAGGTAGAGGGTAGAAGAAAGAGAAGAAGACCAGAAACCAAATGGATAGACTTGATTGGGGGGGTTATGGGCAAGGGCTTGTAGGATCTGGGCAAGGCAGTGGAAGATAGGAATTCTTGGAGATGTCTCATCCACAGGGTCGCCATGAGTCCAAATCGACTCGAGGGCAGCTAACAACAACCATGTCACCTTTTAACCATTTCTTCTCCAGGCTAAGCATACACAGCTCCCTAAGTCTCTTAAGCATGGTTTCCAGGCCCTTCACAATTTTGGTTACTTTCCTCTGGACACGATGCAGCTTCAAAATATCCTTGTTGAATTGTGGTGCCCAGAACTGGACACAGTATTCCAGGTGAAGCCTGACCGAAGCAGAATAGAGTGGCTCTATTACTTCTCTTGATCTAGACACTATACTTCTATCGATGCAGCCTACAATCGTATTGGCCTTTTTAGCAGCTGCGTCACACTGTTGATGTAACAACTGTGGAAATGCTTCAATATGCTTCAGAAAGTCTTTATCCATGCCACCAACATCTGGCTGTACTAGCCAGCTTCTTCCGAAAAATATATCGTGGAATCAAACATGCTAAAAATATCAGGTTTTGTTAAGTCAATATATATTTGAAATCCACAGAAACAGGGCATACAGCTTTATGAAGTGGTTCCCAAACTTTGGTCCTCCAGGTGTTTTGAACTCCATCTCCCAGAAGACCTAGTCACCTTGGCCAACAGACAGGAATTCTGGGAGATGAAGTCTAAAACATCTGGAGGACCAAAGTTTGGGAACCACTGCTTTCAAGTTTCATTGATTATGGATCAATCTAGTTCTTTTGTTCCCATTCAAATCCAAATTTTCTGAACATCAAGCTGATGACATTCCACCAAACATCTTCAGGTAGTTATTGTTGATTTAGATTTCTCTAAATATCCAATTAATTATGCTGAGATTGTGTAAATCACTCCTTTACACGCCACAACATTTTTCTGTGTCTTTGACTTATGTGTTTATGAATTTATTGATCCCCTCCCTTTCTGCCAAGAAATAGGACTCAAGAGATGGATGTCAAAGATAAAACAATTAAAACTAAACTCAGTAATTCAGCAAGGTGGGGGGAGGACAGGAGGAGCCGGAGCCTTGTACTTACTTCCCAGTACACTCAGGCAAAAGCAAACTGCTGCAGCCTCTCCTTGTTAGTAACTTCCGCCATCTTAACCACTTGGATGTTGTTTGACCACAGACCTTTTTCATCTGTGAAATGCTGGAGGGGCTTTATCTGAGTGTTTGAGTGTTCGACTACGACTCTGGAGACCAGGGTTTGATTCCCAGCTCAGCTGTGAAGCCCACTGGGTGACCTTGGCAAGTCACACTCTCTCAGCCTCAGAGGATGGCCATATCAAACCACCCTCTGAAGAAAGCTGCCAAGAAAACCCTGTGACAGAATCATGGAGTTGGAAGAGACCCCAAGGGCCATCCAGTCCAACCCCCTTGCCATGCAGGAACTCACAATTAAAGCACTCCATAAATCGGGCGAAAAACAAATAAAGAGAACCTCGCAAAGTTAGATTAGATCTTGGGAGCTGTTTTGCATTCGGCTGAGAGAGTGTGACCTTGCCCAAGGTCCCACACTCGGTTTCCATGGTGCAGCGCGGATTCGAACCCAGGTCGCCAGAGCCATAGCCCAGCGCTCTAACCACTGCACTACTCGGGGTCCGCGGACGCGACCGTTTCCCCCTCCCAAAGCGGTTACCCACCGAGGAGCGCTCTGAACAGCCTCCATCCTTTGGTTCACTGCGCAGGCGCAGAAGGACTGCGGAAGGGTGAGGGCAACGCAACAGACGGCAAAGGCCGACCCGCAACAGAAGGCCAAAACCCACTGCGCCGCATCTGGGTTGCCATAGAAACCAAGGCGGAGGTTTGTGAAGTACGGGAGGAGCTACACTTGGCCCCACCCACCACCCCAGGAACTCTTGGTTGGTCGCTTTCCCTGTCCATCACTCTTTCTGCCCTTGCTCAAGGCTAGGAATTATGGGAACTGTAGTTTTGTGAGACATTGAGCCTTCTCTGTCAGAGAGTTCTTTTGTGCCACAATAAACTGCATTTCCCAGGATTTCCTATAGCACTGAGCCAGAGCAGTTAAAGCGGTCTCAAACTGGATTATTTCTGCAGTGCGTTGTGGACCTCTTTCTCTCAGGTGGGTTGTAACCAGGGTGACCAGAGGTCCTCCTTTTCAAGGTCCTGTCCTACATTTCAGCCTTCTGTCCAGGAGGAATTCCAAAATGTCCTCCATTTTGACCATAACTAAGAAGCATGAATTTATAATGTCTATGAGTGTGTTTAGTTTTTATTTTGCAATGTCTTACCTTTTCCTTGAATGTCCTATGTGCATATATATATATATATATATATATATATATTCTTCTTGTTATTCTTGCAGTTATTCCCAGACTTTGGTTCACCAGATGCTTTGGACTTCAGGTCCCAAAATTCCTGAGTGTTAGCCAAGCTGGCTGGGGCTTCTGGGAATTGAAGTCCAAAACATCTGGAGGCCCAAAGTTTGGGAGTCACTGCTAGATTTACTTGCCAAATAATCCCAGAGATGAAACGCTTGTTCTCTTCCAGCAACATAGAATCATAGAGTTGGAAGAGACCACAAGGGCCATCCAGTCCAACCGCCTGCCATGCAGGAACTCCCAATCAAAGCATCCCCAACAGATGGCCAGGGATGTGGGATTTTCTCAAACTACTGCTGATTACAATTCTTTTTATTTCCAGTATATTATTACATCATCATCTTCATCATCATCATTATCATCATCAGAAAGAGTATGAACAATCTGAGATATGCAAATGACACCATAATACTAGCAGAAAACCTCACAGACCTGGAACAACTATTTAGAAAGATCAAGGAAGAAAGTGCAAAGGCAAGCTTAATGTTGAACATAAAGAAAACAAAAATAATGACCACGGAGAACTTGCACACATTCAAACTAGACAATGAGGAAATAGAAATAGTAAAAGAGTTCTCATACCTGAAATCAAATATTGATAGAAATGGGGACTGCAGCTAGGAAATCAGGAGAAGATTAAGA